GCTGGCGCGGGGGGGTGGGGGGGGGGGGGGTCCATCAAATGGGTGACTGTACCTGTGGTCCATTGAATAGGTGTTCTCAGGCAGCGGCTGTGAGGGAGGGATGTGGGTGTAGGTCCGGTCTGGTTTGGGCGTCGGTGCCGCTGTGGGAGAGGCATGATGGAGAGGGGACACGGGGGTGCTGCAGGGGGGAGTCACTGGGCTGGAGGGCTTCATTCCTGCAGGTTGCTTTTGCTCATAGGCACTAGGGTAGTAAAAGTTGAATTTCATTCAATCATTTTCAAAATGGAAAAACAACCAACTTTGTACATATACACAATAGGGATCTGGGACAGTCTGCTAATGTTCACATATGACTTTTTTTTTTAATGAAAGGACATGATTGGATTATGAATTGGGATGGTTGGTTGGACTCACCTGATGTTGTATGGACACTTGTCTCCATACTGAAGCTTGTACGATCGTTCTTGACTACAGTTGGAGCTCAGCTCTGAGCAGGGACTGTGCAGCTCTCTTTTAATCTTCAGCTGCAGGCTGTGAAACGCCACTGCAAATCAGAGGTGACAGACACAGGAGAAGACCTTTCATTGGGAGAACTGCAGAAAACACACAAGAGTCTGAATGACCTGTTGTTTTGAAACATTGTCAGATTATCTTTGGATGAAGGAAAGGGATTCTTTTGGCGGCCCGGTACCAAATGATCTATGGACCAACACTGGTCTCCGGACCAGGGGTTGGGGACCGGTGCCCTAAAGGACAGTCTGGGATTAGACGGTGACTGGGTAGAGTAACCGGAGACTTCATTCTGATTGACTTGGAAGTTTTTATTTTTCAGAGGCGAGTCTATCAGATTAACATCGACTAAGACTGAGAACGGTGGTGTGTTAATCAGGACTGATCGGAGGTTTAAGAGCCTGTTACGGAGGGGGGCCCCACCCCCGTTCACCATGAGATCAATGGGCCCCATTGTTGTTGTCTGGAAGGTATTGACGGAGGCTAAGAGCAGATTAAGAATGTTTAAAAGCTTTCTGGACACACTTTGGTTTCAGGTCGGTCACTGACAAGTCATTTTTTAAAGGAGCGATTCACCCCTGAATGACTAATCAACTGGATTCAACTGGACTCTCCTATAAGTCCTATCTATCTCACAGACTTTTATTACTGGTTTCCGGTAATTAGAAAAACAATGTGATGAGATTTGATTTGATTTTCAAAAAACGCATTATACAGTGTTTGCTATTGTTATATGTCAAAACTGTATTCTTTGTAATAAATAAAAATTAACATTTAACATAACATTTTTTTCCCGTGTTGAATTGTGAAAAAAACTGTTTTAAACAAAATGTTCAAAACTGTAATTTTTTTGAGAACTGTTAGTCAAAGTAATACTTTTAAACTTTTACCTATTTCTCCTCTAATTTACAACGAATAAAGACGTGATTTAAAAGTAAATAAAACGCATAAGATGAACGTAAGAGGTGAAGTTTAAGAGAAAACCTTTAATATACAACAGTTAATATATTCAAAACGGGCTTCAAACACACTGTTTGGTCTTATTTCTTATTACAAAAAATAATATATATATATTTTTAGACTTTTGGTCTCAAGCTCCAAAAAGTACTTTAACTCTAGATTGTTATCACGTCCCTGTGTTTTTACCTCTTCTTCTCTCTTCTTAAAAGAATTCGTTTAATACGCTAAGCTAGGTTTAGATCGGCCTTAGAATACAGTAGACACTACAACAACAGAAGGCTACTTGTTTTTTTTTCCAAAACAACCCAAACAAACTTTATATATTTCCCAGCAGTTTCCATGATTTCTAAACAGCAGCTGCACGTTGACAGACTCCTGAGTCTGTCTTCACCGCAGACATTTAGACATTTGATGATTGGGATTATGTTTCTTTCTTAGTCTCTGGGGGTGAAGACCAGCTGATGGAGGAGGATGTTTTCTCACGGCTGAATGACAGCTGTCCTACACCTAGCCTTCAATCTGCCGACAACTCATGTAACCTACAGCCAATGAGGGCTCAGAGGAGGTGTGGCCACAGAGGCTGGTGTGAGGAAGCTCACGGGGACGCTCCCAACCCTCATCGGGCGGGAAAGTTAGAAGGGGGCCTGACCTTTATGGGTCATCGATCGGAGGTCAAAAGACACTTCCTGAGCGGTGACCTTTGTCAAGGCAGACATGGTAAGAACCATGTTAAAGACAGATCCAAACAGTGATGCGGTTTGTCCGACAATCAATCTAATTATCTATCATACAAAACAAAAAAAATGTCTTTTTAATCACTAGGTTTGAAAAAAAGCACACGTTCAATGCTGCATTGCTTTGTTTGAGATCTTGAGATCCTGTACCAAATCCCATAGAGAAAATGATTGATTTGACATCACAGTTGTTGTTGATCAACTTCTCTATCCATCCCTAAGTTGAAAACCAGGACAGACTAAAATACACTAAACAGTTCTGTCCGTCTCGGAGACTCGGTTCAAAGCATTCCATTGTCATTAACATTTTGACTGTTCTTGTTCCCAACTAACAGACAGAAAACAAACATCTGACAACACTGTACATTTCAGAATTTAAGCGTATGAGTGTTATATAAAAAAAAAATCTGTTCACCTTTTTTCCTCCTGACTGTCAGGGCTTTCATAACCACAGCTTCAGATTAGCTGCAGCAGCGTGGCCTTAAATTAGAAAATGGAAATGTCACAATGGATTTGGTCAGCAGGGGGCCAAGGTACACAAATCAATAGTGAGGGCATGGCCTGTGACTAACACGGAGTCTTCCTTTTTTAGTCCTGAATGTCACGCCCATCACTGGCTGATTGCTCTCATTATCTACCTATTGATTAACGCAGACGCTTCTGTGTTTAAAGAGAGGAGCAGTTACAACAATTATTGACTCCAGTTTTCCACACATTTTTTTTCCACTTTTCTATGTCATTACCAGGAATATTTTGTCATTTCTGACTGATCTTTAAAGGCAGGATTCAATGGGAAACTATAGATTTACCTGAAATGACTCTTAAGGTGACATTTCTGCTGTGATCGTCATTTTAGGAGAACTAGGAACAGATAATGTGCATGTATTCAGTGAAGGGCAAGAGATGAAAGAAAAAAATACTAATACTGCAAAAATCAATAGTATGATATGCAGATGGTCGACAGCAGATGATTTCATCGACTGCTGATGGCACCATGTTCCCCAAACTCCCATCTTTCCTGTCTCTTATCACATAATCTGTGGTTCCTTAATTCAATTAATCCTTAATTTAACAAGCTAAGGACACTGCAAAATATTTGGATTCAAAGTAAATTAGGATCAAACATGTGGCGGAAGAATCAGACGACCGTGGCCACTGACTTCTGAGCAGGTCAGGTCCGTGATAAACGGCAAAATGTCGCCTGTAAAACGCAGCAGTTCCTCAATTTTCAGTGTCACGATAAGTGAAAGGAATCAATCCAATCATTTAATTGTCTGGGAAAACCGGATCACAGATTTAAACTTTTAATTTCAGTTTTAGAAAATGTGTTTAAACTTTTAATTTCAGTTTTAGAAACAGTTTTTTTTTAAATGTATGAGCCTGATATTTTTTTTTTAGAAACAGTTTTTTTTTTAATGTATGAGCCTGATAAAAAAAAAAGTTGCTGTAAATTTTCCCCTTGGTCTTGTGGCAGTAGTGAACAAGCATTTAATCCATTTTCACCTCCTCTTCTTGTTCACCTTTGCTGTTAAACGGTGATGCAGACAAAGATCTGCTGCCGACACGTGGCCTCATTTTACACCTCTGTTACTGCTGCGTTTCGTGCTAAGTTATGCTAATGGTAACCATCTGGGTGAGAGTCAGAGACAAAAGAATTATTTTTCTCTTTTCTTTAGCCTGAGGACGGTTCGTGCTGCAGGGCTGGCAGGGTGATGATTTTTTTTTTTTTTTTTTTTTGCGACGTGGATAGAGAAGCACTATGTCGGCCGACGTTGCCAGTATCTTTAGAGGTGATAAAAAGAAATAACGATGGTGAACAAAGAAAAGAGTTTTAAC